GTGGTGCAAAGATAACAGCCTAATCCTGAACGTCAGAATACGAAGGAGATCATCTTGGACTTCAGGAAGAACCGGCCTAACCACATTCCACTGGTCATCAACAGCTCAGCTGTAGAGGTGGTCAGCAGCACCAAATTCCTGGGGGTGCACATCACAGACACCCTCACCTGGAATGTAAACACCACCTCAGTGGTCAAAAGGGCACAAAAGCGCATGTTCTTCCTGCAGAGGATGAGGAAAGCCCACCTGCCCCCATCCATCCTCACCACCTTCTACAGAAGCACCTTAGAGAGCGTTCTGACCAGCAGTCTCACTGTGTGGTGTGGAGGCTGCAGCTCCTCAGACTGGAATGGTAAATGGCATGTACTTATATAGCACCTTTATTCAAGTTAGGAGACTTGACCAAAGCGCTTTACACTACATTCATTCACCCATTCACACCACTGATGGTGGCAAGCTACATTGTAGCCACAGCGCCACCGGGCCCTCTGACCACCATCAGTAGACAATGCAGGTGAAGTGTCTTGCCCAAGGACACAACGACAATGAAGGTCGGAGTCGGGGCTTGAACCGTCAACCCTTCGATTACAGGGCAAACTCCTCCATCCAACGCCACTGTCGGAAGAAAGTAAGGAGAGTGGTGAGAACAGCAGAGAGGATCATGGGGGCTCCTCTTCGCACCATTAAAGACATTTCATCCCCGCTCTGCATTATATTTTATCATTTTATATATATATATATATATTTCAGAAACTGAAATGTTAGAATTGTAAATTTACAGTCATATTACTGTTTTTTTTTTAAATATTTTTTTACTATTTTCAAGGCTGCACTTAAAAAAATAAATACATTGTCCCTGAGAGCTGTTCTAAATGAAATTTATTTTTGTTTTACACTTGTTTAAACAAAATGACAAATAAATCTGTCCAAGTAATTCTAAGATTTTTACTAAGTACACAAATCAGATTTGGGTCCCTTCAGGCTGCATTGTGAACATAGCCATTGTTAGATCCTTCATTCCTCTAGTTGCTTGGTTGTAGCGGCTCTGGACACACACAGTTATAGCAACTGAAACACTTGTTTTATCAGGTGCCAAACCAACTGGGCCAGAATACGTACCTACATTATTTCCTGATCTAAGTTCTACAACAAGCAAAGGAGAACTTAGATCAGGAAAT